AGAGAGAGAGAGAGAGATGAGGGATGCCTCTACTCGAGCCCAGAAGTCACGCTCTGATCATCGTGAATGCAGGAAAAAAGATGTCTCCAGGTTGGACGTGAGATCCGGTTCGCTCTGCAGAAGCAGCCGGTTCTGAGTTCTGGCTGTCCACACCGACCTCCCTCTCCAAGGTTGACAGCTTTTAACCCAGTCACAGCTGCAGGACTGAGTCCCTTCTACGCATTATTACCATCAGGGGATAATGGTGCTTCTTGAAAGAAAAACTCCGTCAGCCGAGTTTGTCTCTTGCAAGGAAGGACTCGACATGCAGTCAGTTATTCCCGCAATGCTGTAGTCTCCATCCCTGTGGTAGCAGCTGTAGGTTGGGCTGAAATGATGTATGTCTGGAGGGAAACGCCGACAACACCCCCTCCCTCCCTCTCTCAAACTCCACTTCTGCAAGGTTGCAGCTGAGAGTTTGTGAGACTGAGTGCTGCAAAAATCACCTCATCCTACGTGGAGACTGGAAATCCTCTTTTATACGTATTACTCGATGCAGCGAGGTCGTTTAACATTAGCCTCCGAGATTAAACATATCTTTGTTGGGTAATGTAGAAAGGTATGTTATTGAGAAACGCTTCAGAAGTTACGACACAAGTGAACCTGACACCGGAATCACTAGGGCGTCATTTTTCTCTCGCTTCACGAACCGTCATTTTGAGACTAATTGCCCACATAAATGGCATTTTAGGTCAGACTAAACTTGGAATTTACTGGCATTATGGGCTTAATTACACTAAAGCCTGAATTATATCTTAATAATGTCTCTCTCATTTGTTCACCTGTAAACAAAACCCGCAATAGGAGAACAAAAAACGACACGCAGAATGACATACTGACCCTTTCTGAAAATGTACTGTTCACTATCACACACACACACACACACACACACTGACACTAGACACTGTGTTAATTTCACATAGTGAGATTTTATTCGCTGTTTGCAACCGTTAAAAGCAGTAATTACAGTTGACAGACTGACAGACGTGCTGAATGATATAGAGACATGAGAGACTGTATAGCACAACACGAGTAAATGCTGAGTATGAAATAATTTATAATTTATTGCACTTCACCCCTCCACCCTCGATGCAACCCCCACCCACTCCAAGAGGAGTGGCAAAGGCTGCTGAACACAGGGACAAGCACATACACTGAAACTGGAAGTTAGACAGTTGTGTAGCTGCATCCAACTGGCAGCTGCTGGCTTTTACGCACATAGTTTAGGCAAAGTAATTTGAATTGGTTTTCGGTTTCTCGGTCGTAGTTAAAAGCCTCGAGGGTCGTTTTCACAGCTTTTATACTTGGGTTGATAACATCGTACACCGACAGAAAGTTTTGCAGGGTGGATGTATTGTAGAACATTAGACATCGACGCTGTTGGATTCTCTGATCACTTGCAGGCATCCATTTGAGTTTTGAAGGTCAGTGAGGATTACAAGACACATTTTGGAGGTGAATTTAGAAAAGCAGCGTAACTGCGTGACAAATGATCTCTCTGATGTAGAAAGGTCTAAAGGTAACGCGATAGTCTTAAACTAGTGGCGGATATGTACAAGCAAATACTTTTACGCATGACGCACTGTGGTTTCTAAGAGTTTGGCATTCTGAAATGAAAGTCAAACTCGCACTTGACAGAGCTGATGCTGTCGATGCTGGGTTTACTGCCCACCTGGGGGTGTCTTATGCTCTGAGGAAAAGTTTCTGATCGCGGCATCCGTCCTGAAGTCAACACCGAAGCCTCCTCCAACTCTTTCACGTCCTTCTTAAACTCCGGGGAGGTAAATCGGCGTAAGAGTTTGTTGCTCAGCACCGAGAAAGTCGTGGATGAAGTCGTGGATGAAGTAGGGGCTGCTGGTGCGGTAAACTGAAGAGGGTCAGCCCTGCAGGGAGATGCCTCGCGCATCCTCACGGTTCTGGATTTACGCAAAGGAACCAGTGTGCGCTCTGGAGGTGTGGGGCTGAGGATACTCGTTGGCAGACTACATCTTTTCTGATAGTAGCTGTCATGAAATCTGCGCACACCGAAGTCTGACATTTTTGGTCTTTCTGTCCCTGGTTCCTTCTCACTTTTGTTGGGAAGAATGGGAGTCAGTAAGATGCCCAGGGCAGAGGGCGCGCTGGGTTGGGGGCAGTTTCTGCTGGACCGGGGTGAGAAGAAAAGAGATTTTTGAGCCTCACAACAGTTCTGTATAAGAGGCGGGAGATGGTCATCAGAGGTGGTCGACCTTTCCCCGGTTTTAGGATGCTTAGAGTTGGGAGAAGGGTCGGAAGTCCGCGAAGGGGGGTTAGGGGTTAGGACTCCGGAGAAGACCAGATCCTGTGCAGGCGAGGAGGAGCAGTCATTCTCTCTGTCAAACTCCTCTATAGAGTCCATCGAAGGCAGCTGACTCTGCTTTCCCCGAGGCCTCGGTTGCCGAGTGCAGCTTTGAACCAACTGGCAATCTACGCGATTACACGTTTGGGGGACATCAAGTTTGTTCACTAAATGTCCAACATTCCTCTCAAACTTATCATATACATCTCCGTATGTCAAACTAAGTCGCGGCTGCGCAGCTCCGTCAGCCTCACGGCCCTTCTTGGAGCTGCTGGTGAGCGCGAAGATGCACTCTGTGTGGCCGAGAAACTTCGCCACTTCCACAGCAGAGTTGCCAACTTTATTCTGCCTGTCTATCTGAAGACCCAGCCTCTTGAAGGCTCTCACCAAAAACTCAACCACAGGCGAGTGTCCTGCCACCGCGGCGTACATTAGCGCAGTGTTCCCCCAGGCGTCCACAATCTCCGGGTCTGCATTGTTCCGGACCAGGACCTTCACAACATCCAGGCAGCCTTTCTCACAGGCGTAACTGAGCGCGGTGCGCCCGTTGCCGTCCTGACAGTTCACATTGGCACCTCTCTGCAGCAGAAGCTCTACAAACTTATACCGAGTCTGACTATCGGGCAGCAGGATAGAAGCGATGAGGGGGGTCTGTGCGCTCTCTGTTCTGGAGTCCACGATTTCCCCATCCAGCGCGTCCAGAACGAACCTGGCCAGGTGGACTTTATCCTTGGACATCGCCTCCAGAAGGATCTTAGTGCCCGTTTGCCCATCGGACTTCCCCTGAGCCTTCAGCATGATTCCGAAATGGGTCAAAAACCTATCGCAGAAATGTCATCTTTCTATAACGTGGAGCAGGTTTGGAAGCTTCTCCCCCAAACGAATACTGACAAAACAAACCCACCACCCCTGTTTATATAGTGAAGGAGGAAGCTGCGGAGTTGCCGGGCAACGCAAACATAATTAGCGCGCTTTGTTGGTCTTTCTAATGGAAATACTTCACTTATAATAACAATTAGAAGCTTCAGCGCTGGAGCCGCCCGTGTCCCGAGAGTGGATCTGGGATATGAATTCATCCTGCACTTGTTGACTGTGATTAGACAGCAGTGGTCATTGTTTGAGAAATAAGTGCGGGGGCCGGTAACAATCAATCCGGCCTGCAGACACAGTGTGACCCCACTTGAGACACTTTCAGCACACAATGATCGGGTCTCAGCAGGAACACAGAACACCATGGTTGGCAGTAGAAATAACGTTTTCATGAGTCAAAGATGGATTCTCATAGAAATATATTGTGTGGTGCTGTTAAGGCACTTTAATTTAAATATTCCTGCTACTCCAAAACAACCACCTTCCCCAGAACCATATCAATCAAACAACACAAAGGAGCCACATGGTGATGTCCCATTTTACACCTGGTTTTATTGGTACACATACTATAAAACAGTATTAAAGGAGCTGGATAACAACAGTATTTTCATTGCTTTAAGTTCAACAATACAATATAAATACAAAAACACGCACATAATGGTTTGTTGACAAGCTACAGTTCAAATAGAAAACAAAGAGGAGATACAGTAGAAACTGAGGAAATCAAACCGGTGACATTGCTCTGCAAAAATAATCTGCTTTTTTTGACAAACTAGAGAGCCAAAGGTTACATGTAATCACACAACAGAAACATTCAACTAGTGCAAAAAAGCCTCTAACAAACATAATAATCTTAAACTACACATTATATCTAATATATATAATATATATATTCATTTATTTATATATATCTTCATATAAATAACCCCTTAATTTGGCATTTTATCAGTCATAAAATAATTTTAACTTCCTAACAGACACCGAGTGGCACATTTGAAAGCGATGGAATAAAATTTAAAAGCACTTTTACTCGTTTATCTCTGCACTAGATATGTGGTGAGAGCTTTATACTGTGTGTGGTGCAGTGAGGGCAGACTGGAGAACCGAAACCAAAAGAACAAACAAGAAGAAAACCCAGTGGTTGATAAATGTCTTTCCCCAACATCCAACAGACTCACTCTGTCCCGTGAGCCCTTGTATGACAGAGGACAATTGGTCAAAAAGTAAATTAAACTACATACATTCCAGTATATACAAAAACATCCTGTCTACCCTTTATGCGTGTTACAGCAGAATAAAACAACAGAAAGAAATCTTTTAAAAAGGCCAAAACACCTACAGGTGCCTTTATCCCCATTTTTTTTGTGTGTTTTCATATTATCAGAATTCTGACTTTTGTCAGTTTGGTCGATCTTTATTAGTGGTATACGATGCAAAGTGAATGCTTGGCATGATCATGTGTGCACAAATACTTCAGTACCCACAGGATTACTTCATAATAGTACTTTCAAGTCACATTTCTTTCTCTGCAGTGGCTTTGTGTCCCGCAGTGTCGCCAGGGCTGCGTACAGTAGTGCTTCCTCAAGCTATCTATAGTCCCATTAACAGTAACATTTAGAGGGAACCTGTTTGGGACACAGGCCTTGTCTGAAATCCCTGGTGTGTATAGGTGTGGGTGGCAGCCATGTCACAGGCTTTGTTACAGATCTGTTATAATTGTTCAGTCTCCCCCGACCACAGGCCAGCAGGGAAAATGACGAGGATTACAAGCTGAGCTTGCTAATGTGCAGTCAAGAAGCTATTAAGGGACTTCACTTCAACAACGTCTTAATGAGTGCGAAACTGACTACATGAGGTTGCTTTGACTTCTGTCTGCCAAAGTTCTTGTCTGATGGTGATGGGCTGGTCAATTAAAACAATGTCTAACAGCAGAATTAATATGCTGCCAAGAATGGATTCATTTAGTTACCACTGTATTTATTACAGATTGGGCACAATGTTCACAAGAGTTTCAAATGCAAAACTCCTCAATGCAAAGAGCTATTTGAATCCTACTTAACATTTTACTTACTGGTACATCCCCCCTTTATTATATCATCTTATTTTCAATTACGTGTCGTAACTACTAATATCATTGCCTTGGTTTGTAGAGATGCAACAATTTTAATCAATACATTAAAGGCTACACAAAGCAACCACAATGTAGTTACTATTACGGTAATATCTGTACCTGTGCTTCTGTTGGCTACTGTGATCGTCCTGATTGATTTGCTATATTTTTTACACTCTGAACTTTGAGGGAATCATGTATGTGTTAATCTTTTTTTTTTTTTTTTTGCATAGAATACATGATTTTGAGCCCAAAATTAGGAGTATAAAACAGTGAGTTTTGCAGATGTAAACTTGTAATGATTGAGCACAAACAATAAAATAACCGTGCTTCCCTTTCACTACTTAAAAATCGTGTATAATCATTTTATTTTCAAGTAAAAGTGAAGCACAATCTATTGGGTATTTGGCTTTAACAATGAAGTTGACCATCAATCCATCAATCGTGATCCCTTTCTAGTCTTCTGTCTCAGCAAGCCTTTTTATCATGGGCTGTAACATTGCTGAACAACAACAAAAAATTAGTAATACATCTTTGTGTAGTCAAACAACTTGCATTGTAGGAATAGGTGACACAGCAGGGGGTTTGCCACTCCTTCATACAGTGTTTTTTTTTAAAAATACATTCTTACTGAAATACAGAAAACCTACAGTAGTGCACTGCTACATTTTCCACATTGTTATGAGGGCCTATCACATACAGTACAAAGTGCTCAGGACAGGACTGGTGTGTAGCATACAGTGTATTTCACAAAGTTTATTCATTTGTGCTGAATTGACATTAAATCTTATACATACTCTTCTCCCCTCTTCCACGCTGTCAGTTAATCGGGTACCGATTTAAAAAAACAAACAAAAAAAACCCAAAACAAAACAAATCAAAAGGGGAATGGACATCACTTCCCGTAAGTGTTTGTGTGGTGTGGGTGTGTGTGGTGTTTGTGTGTGTGTGTGTGTCCATCAATAGCTGCAGCTTGTGTTGCCCGTGCGATGCAGAGAACATTGAAGGAGATAGAAAATTTGGATCTACGTACAGCGAGGAGGGGGCGCGCCTGACTCTGTGTTGCTTCGTCTCCGAGGTAACATTTCCTCTCTCGATAAGTGGTTAAACCCCCTGTCAAACAGCGGTAAGCGCCAATGGCTCAGTGGTATAATGTTGGTGGGTGGGGTAAGGGGCAGAAACTGAGTGGTGGGGGGAGGGGGGCTACTGTGTGTTTGTGTGTTAACATGACAGAAATGTACAGAGACAGTGATGTAGGCAGGGTTTATGTCTCTGGGTTGTAGAGAGCTATCCGCGGTGGAGTGTTTCTGCACCTGCGTGTGTGTGTGTCTGTGTGTTAGTGTTTGTGTTTGTGTGGTTGTGTCTCGGTCTCAGTCGCTCACACCACCGTGGCAGGTCTGCGGTCCATCTCCTCCTCCAACTTCACCATCTGCTGCATGTCCTTGGCCTTCGAGGAGACAGAAACACAGTTAGACAAACACACAGAGGCGGAAATGAAACCTCTCACTAAATATCTAACAGTCGCAGAGGATCCACTCTTTGTCTTTTGTTACAGAGTTTGATCTTTAGTTGTAAGTTCTAAATGTTATATTGCTCATTAAGAGACAAATCTGTCTCTACCTCAGCAATAATCCCTTCTGTTGAGTGCTCTTCCTTGCATACTTTAGCAGGTAATATAAACCCCATGCTTAGTAGGAGTGACGTGTAATGGTTGCCACAAAATGTCTGCAGTGGGACACTGTCACATACTATGAAAGCAAATGATTATGAGCTGGAGTGAAAGCACAGTGGGGCAGGATGGGAGCTGGCTGTTTTTGCTTAGTAATAGCTGGTGAGTCATAGTGATAAATGACTCAAGCTGCTAGTTGGCACTGCTGACACTCAGAGAGCTGCAGACTAAAAATGTGGGAATGGGATTTTACAATACAAAGAAAAATTCATCACTCTTTCTTCATTTAATCTCACAGTCTCTTCAAAGACAGGCCTGGCGTGTACTATTTTCCTGCTTTACTCAGTGGTGATTCACCTCAAGAGTGCTCATTATAGTAGTCATTAAATGGCAGGAAAATGCAGATTTTAGCAGGCTCAGCAGAAAACTGAGGCGACGAATAAAACAGTAACATGACTGAGAGGTGGAAGGGAAAGGGATGGAAGCTAACATGATCCCTACTGACAGAGAGGTGGTATGAGAGGTAGAGTTGAGTGAGATGAAGGTGCCTACCTTGAACCTGTTTGTTTGCATGGTGTGATTTCAAAAGCTGTGCCGGAAGAAGCAAATCATATTAAAAACAAATGAATATGTGCATACATGTAAGACATGTACAGGTAACGGAGTGTGGCAGAGGCAAAATAAAATGGAGAGATGGAGACATGAGACCCATATTTGTAGTGTGCACGTACTACATGAGAGATACACAGAGATACACAGAGATACTGTCCATAAACTGTTATACTGGTTTAACAGTTCAGCTGCTATGATGTTGCTGTCAAAGGACAGTTGAGACTTTGATTCTTTAATATGGACTTTGTATTTTATTCTTTGGGACCAGCATTGTTGTTTGTCTTTAGAGTACCTTGAGGCAATTATGATACCAGCTATGTGGAACACTTCCTGCAAAACTAATTACAGTTTACATCACAAATGATACAAACTGCAGCCATTATCTAGCGTAGAAATCAGCCAGAGAACTGCTCCAGTCCCCAGTCTGGAGTTTCATTTACACTAAAGAACCCGGTGGAGCACAGAGGACCATAAACAGAGACGTTTTGGTTTATGCAGGAAGTGGGTCTAATAAATGCTGTGGTGAGACATTTCAGCAGTTAAGATGGAGAACAGCAGTAAGCTAATGGCAGACATGCCAATTATCTTTAGTGATTTCTTCTTAACATTATTGGCAGTGAATATTCTGACTGCTTGGTGTTCTTAGTGTTGGTACCTGCTCATTGAACTTCTCCAGTTTATCCAACTGTTCCCTCTGGTTTTTCTCTAGCTGCTCCATCTCCTTCTGATGCTTCATGGCCAGCTGCAGACACACCACGGACAAAGACATACATAATGACCATTCAGGTACTGTTTCATACTATAAATAAGCAGTAGTTTACCTTTTTTACTTTTTACTTTTACTTGAGATCACAAACACAAAAACCCATCCAAGAGGCTTTAGATTAATCAGAAAATGTGCTGTATTTGTACTTCTGATCTCTTTGGTTAAGAAGTCCTGCACACCACAGGAGCAGTTGTATTAGTGTTTGTACAACAGAAGGTTTGAGAACTTTTGTTACTGTCATCAGTAATATAATAATAATTATATTCAAGACTACTGTTGTTAAGAAAGCAAAACATGTTTATGTGCTTAATAATAATACTATAATAAAACAAACATATTTAGTGATCTTTTCTGTTACAGTAAAAGTACCTGGTTTTATTCTAGACCAGTGACATATTTTTCCTTAAATAGTGGGACTGCTTCCTTGTATTTATAATGTCATTAATGTCAGAGATTAAAGTAGCAATAGACATCCAAACATTTGCATGGTATTCTGAATTCCTATCATGCATTAATCAATATGGGAGAGTCCCAGGTATATTTGTCAGCTAATTATTTAGAAAAGTAAATTGTAAACAACCTACCCTCTTCCTCTCATCCAGGAACTTCTTAGTGTTGCTGCTGTTTAGTTCTCGCACTCTCCTAAATAGCAGAAAGAAAACAGAGCCAACAGTCACAATGGAACAATTTAACAAAACTTGCTACTGAATGATTACAAGGAGACAGATGGATAGAGAAAATGTGCGGCCCACCTCTCTCTCTCTGCCTTGTTTTTTATGGTCTTGTCCTGGCTGATAGCTTTACTGTTTTCCATGGACATCTTTGCCTGGTTGGCACGCATCTCTTTGCTCTGCCTAAAATTGTGGAACAAGACGACACATGTACTGTAAGGAAACTTGATGAAGACAACAGTAATACTCGTAGCTGCAAGCAACAGTTAAGCAGTGGAGCTTCAGTTCAGCACTCCACAGGGCTGCTGGCCCTCCGGGTCTGCTCAGCTACAATAAATGGGTATATACATACATGCGTGCATCTGGGTGTATGGGGCCCTCACCGTTCGTGGATCAGTTTGAGCTGCATGGTTTGCTGCTCCTGAACAGTGGTCAGGAGCTTCTTGAGGTGTTCACACTGCTGTGTGACGTGGCTGTCCTTCATCTCCTGCTCTTCGCTGCTGTGACTACTGATCAGCTCTGACCACTCTTTAGTGTGCTGTGCTGTGATGTCCTTTACCTGCACACACATGCACATGTCAATTATGCAAAGCTGAGGCACTTCTCATCCTCACAGCTAATAACTAGAAAGAAGGCTGGTTTGGGGTAAGAAGTTTGGTATTACCTTGACTTTGTGATCAGCGATGAGTGTTTGGATCTTATCCTCTGTCTCCTTCTTGAGCTCCTGGCAGTTGTTTTCCCTGTGAGGGAATTGCCATAGATATAAGTGATGATTTAGGACAATGTAAGTCAAATTTTGTTTAAGTGCTTTCATTCAAAAGAAAGGAAGTCAATGGAATGGGTCAGGTTTTAGGTGCTCTTTCAGTTTTTTTTTGTAAAAGTTATGTCTTTGGAATTATAATTTTCTAAATTTGACATTGTAGTCAAAAATGAATTATTATTATTATTATTAATAAAATGTAGCTCAAAGAAAGAGCTTTCTACAATCAGTTACGATGGAAACACAGCAAACCTTAGCAATGTAATGATGGCCAATACATTGCACTTGTGGATTTTTGTTGAACATGTTAGTTTGCCCCCCCCCCCATACCCTCGCTTCTTGATGGCTTTCTCTAGTAGTTTCTCTAGGGTTGTCTTCTCCTTGTCATGTTGAGACACCATCTTGTCCACCTGGGTGCAGTGGGCTTTCTGCATTGTATTTTGATCCTATATATAAAAACAACAACATGTATCACTTACGTATTTATTTATACTGTGAAAGTGCAGTTTTAAATGTATCAACCTCCTCCATGAGCCGATATGACAATTAAGCCTAAAACAGATTTAGAAATCATAGCAAACCAGGCAGCAGCTGTGGTTATTATTTTAAAAACATTCATATGTTGTTGTTGTCTACATCAAGTAATGAGCCAGCAGTCCTCTTTATTCAGTCAACAGATGGGTCTGGATGGTACTATTATACATGTGTTACGCAATAGGACTGAATACTGTGATTATTAATCAGCCACTATGAATGAGCCAGCAGCCTCCACGGTTTCTATGGTAAGTGCTGGTCAAAGGAAAAAGCAACTTTAGCAAGTCTAATTTCTTACAAAAGATTAATTATGTAGCTGCATCTATGTGTGTTTGTAATGGACGAATGTGTTTTTCTGTGTGTGTGTGTGTGTTTGTGTGCAGGTGAATATAAAGCATTGGTCAGTGGAAGATGAAAGGTGGAGCCGGCCTCCTCGCTCTGTGTCTATCCCTGTGAGCATCAATGATTGTCCAGAATAAGCAGCAGCCTCTTTGCATTTGCAACAGACAGGTCGGCACTAAAACAGTCACCAACCTTTGAGTGTTTCTTCTTTAAAGCGTTGAGCTCCTTCTGTTGCTTTTTCAACAATTTAAGGTACGTCTGCAGTGGGAGAAAAGTAATTTATCTTGTGTCATGTTTTGAAAACCCTTAACATATTAGACTGGGGGCAGCATACAGCTGGGTACAAGTATCGTTTGGTAGCATCTATATTATACAGTTGCTACCTCTATGAGGTATTTTATAAGGTAATCATGAGATCCTTATTAATACAAAAAGGTGATTACAGACAAGAGAAAACAGCTGTAAATAGCTGTAGTAACTGTAACAATATTGTAGTACAATAACAATAATAAACAATTACCTTTTGATCACTGCATTGCTACTTCTTACATATTCTGTAACTTTCACATTTACTATGTTTCACAGACTGAGCTGTAGGATCCCCGTTCTCACCAAGAGTAAGGAATTATTTTACCAACCTTCATCTGTTTTAAGTCATCAATGCTGACATTAGGCACGAGTGCAGGATCTGAAACAGCAGAGAAAAGGAAAGTTTAACTCTGTCCACATAGTGTAAATATGTGTGTTTACAATGTGTATATTTTAAGTCACTATATACCCTTCTTGTTTTCTGCTGTGTTATTTTGGGCGGAGTTGGAGGTCTGGGCCATGTCTGAGCTGGCCTGTGGTGTCACACTGGCTTTCACAGTGTCTCCTTTACCCTTTCCCTTCTTGTCGTTCTTTGAGCTTCCACTAGGAACATCTGCTATGTCGTTCTACAAAAGGGAAATCATTAATGTAGGTGGAATGGGACACTGTTTTTATTGTATGAAGTAATATCTGAGTGAGTTTACACTTGTTGTACCCAGTCAATCAGTGTTTCTATAAACTCAAACCGGAGCTTCAGCTGTGTATATTTGTTGTCATATGTACCGTGTCAATCCCCAGTGCCTTCATCTGGTCAGCTCTTTTTTCTGCAATGGTCAAGAACTTCTTTGGGTCTGACAGGGCGTCCACAATTGCTGAAACACAATGGATTTGATAGTATAGTATAGTTGTTGTAAATTCCAAAATAATTTAACCCCAAAAAATCATAAAGAAAGAGAGCAGTGAACAAAGTGGTAGAAACGGTTTCTTTTGCTATAGTAACCAAAATGTTATTTTGCAATAAGAAAGGCAGTAAACAAGTGTTACATTTAATCATCATCATTAATCATAATCTCATACAGATCTACAGAACCATAACAAAAGATTCCTCCTCTTTGCATGATTAACTACTGCCTCATTACGCTGACAAAGTAAACTAGTCGAGACTGGGGTAGGATCTTACCTCTTGTTTAAATCACACAGTTTCTTAAGGAAATGAATTTATTCTGAGCTCCTAGTACAGTGCTGTGTGCTGGTAGGGAAGTAATTCTGGCAGCAGATCTTATAGAACAAAGCTAATGGTTACAGTAATGGTTCCTCTGCACAAGCCCCATGGCTTTATTTAATGACAACTCCAATTGTCCTGCTCATTTGTATGCTTCTGCCTGTTTTAAACTGTCTATTACTGCAGATTCACTGTCATCATCATTTGCGCCATGCCATTACTCTGAATGTTCAAACCAACCCAAAGCAGAGAGTAAGTGAGCAGGAGAGAGAGTTGCCTTGCCATCCTTTTTTTCTCTCCTCCCTACAGGCTACAGAAGCAACTTTATCAGCCATGAATAAACTGAGCAGTAAAACAAAGTATGTCAGTATGAAACAAACCTGGTATTCTGTATTTAAACATTAAACACAAAGCAATATACATAAAGTTTTTAATTAGTGTGTGTGTGTGTGTGTGTGTGTGTGTGTGTGTGCTCCTGTTCCCCTCACCTCCAAAGCCGTCGGGCACGTAGGTCTTGAGGATGATTTGGCAGAAGATGGTGGGCAACGACAGGGGCTTGTTGCCCTCGTTCCTCAGCGAGATGTGACGGTAGCCAGCCTGCAGGCCGTCCAGAGGCAGGATGCGCTGGCCAATCAGCTTGTTGTTGTCGTCATAGACGGCGATGCGCAGTACTGCCAGATCCGGTAAGATCACCTAGGAGGGAGGGACAAAGGGAAACGGAGGAGGGTTGAGGAACAGTGGAGGCAAGGGGGTGCGAGGACAAAAAGTGAGACAAAAAATAAGTCTGTTTGGAGTTGGTCATCTGCCCCGTGGAAAGTCTATTTAACTTATTCTGCTGTGAAAATAGGTACGACGAGTATTTTGCAGCCATTGCAGTAAAATTATCCAATTTTTAAGCTAAAGCAGAAACAGTATCATTAAGGGGAAGGTCAAGGTTGAAACTGCAGGGGACACTATCAGGGGACGGTCACGGTGTGATACAGGAAAAAGGCGTGATAGCGCAGCCACACACAGCATAGCTTACTACTGACAGGCCATCTCCACAGCTACAGGGAGTGGAGTATATCTTGTATACGTGTATGTGTGTAACTTGTGTCTATGGATGAGCTTATGTGTGCACATCCTTGGGAAAAAAAAAAAAAAACCAGGGAGAGAGAGTCTTAACTGGCCTTGTATGTGGAGATAAGTGAACGGAGAGAGGAGGATGATTAATACCTAGACGAAGGGGAAGGTAAGAGATAAGACCGAAGAATACTCACTGGAGATGAATGGGTGGAAGCACCCGCGTGTGTGTGCGTGCGCTTACGCAAACGTAGCCTTGCTGATGTACTGTATGTGAGTGCTGCTGGTACGTACTGTTTGCTCTGAGTCATCTTGACAGCGCCGTGTATGCATGCATGCGAAAGGTGCGACAGCATTTGAGGGCATTTGTGTTTTAGCGTGTGTGTGGATGTAGAGAAACGAGTCTTGCCAGCAGCTCTGCTTGTGATGCCCCTCTTTGATAGCACTGTGTAACTTTGTATGTGTGTGTGTGAGCAGAGCAGCACTGCGGCAGGCTGTGATTGATGGTGTGTGTTAGAAAGCCAGTCATGGCTGAGAGACTCCTCATTCTGCTGAGAGCAGCACTATTACACACACACACACACACACACGTTTCTCTTTCTATATCTACAATCTCTCTTTTTTAATCTTCCTCCATTACTAATTGCTTGTTTCTCTGTTTATTTTTTTCCTTTCTTCTTGCTGCCTTTTGTTTATCCCCTTTTCTTCCTCTCAGGTGAACAAGATGCCTTGTTCTTCCTCCTCTTGTCCCGCTCTCTGTTCTGGTTTGTGATTCTTTTGCAAATTACCACATCTTTCTTCCCTCTCTTCCTCCCTCAAACATCACCGCTTTCATCATAATGCAGACAGTATTTGAATATGTGCAGCACATTTGTTTTACCTCACTGTATCTGTTATCTCACCTCACCCAACCACCCCCTTTCCTGCCCTTCTTGCTACCTTTCTGAAGACAAAGGGCTCCTCGTTGTAGGCTGGGTTCAGTCCGTTGTTCATCACCATACGTGTGCGGAACTCCTTTCGGATGGTGTCCGTTGGCAGCCCGTACATGTCGACCTCAACATACGTTCCAATTTTCTTGTCTGACAAGAACTGTCCAGAGAACACCTAACAAGTAAAAAGGAGGACATTTGAAATATTTCTGAAGGTTTTCACTGTTTAATATTTAAAAAGTAAATTATTCACTCTGATTGGATCTTGATGCAGCAGGTATGGAGGTATAGTCAAGCATCATCACTAAAGTACCAAAAATTCAACTAAAGAGACAAGTAATAAGATACATACAAAGAAAGAACAAAGACAGATCAACTCTTAAGTAAATATGAATGAGTAAATTCATAGTTTTAAGCTAAAATACTGTAATTGAATTTTTTTTTTGTAGGGGTTTTCCAACATGACTGACTGCAGATGACCTGACCTGTACGCTGCAGGTTGCAGCGATGACGCCATCCACCGGCGTTTCAGAGAAAGGGTCAAACATCCTGTCTGACCGTCGCATGAAGTCGGGCTTTAGCAGGTACCTGACAACAGAAGATGAATATGATAGATATCCAACACAACCACTGCATGTGCAACAAACAATCCTGTAAACAAAAAGCCAATAACAGTAATTAATTAATGGAATCTGCCCAAAAGATGTAGAGACAATGGAAATAAACACTCAAATATAAAAATACAGCTCATTAAGGTAACTCAGGCAAAAGCAAACACTAGAAAGAGAAACTCCCTTTCAGATAGCAACCAAAGACCAAAGAGATTACAGAGGGTTTGATATTTTATACTTAAAATGTGCCTTATAAATTTAAAAATAACATTAAGGAACAGCTTTGATACGGGCATTTTATCTCTTAATGCAGAGCTATTTATTTCTCAAGCATATACATTGGATTGATTTTAATAACTTGAATGTACTTGAAGTGTGTACTGGGCAGATACTCAATATTAAATGACTTAGATCAAGGGATAAAAAAACTTGATCGGGAAATCCTTCATTTTTTGTTTTAATCAAGCTCTTGAACGATCTATCGGGAATAAGGTACTAAAGCTTTCTGTGTGGGAGTGTGTAACCAGGGGCCCAGCAGAGTGGCATTAGTAATGATGGGTGTCTGCAAAAGCCCTGATCTTCCCACATATGAGATTTCCAGCATTAGCAGTAAAATCTCTGCCCTCAGGGACAGTATTAGAGCCGAGGGATGGAGACAGCGATGGAGAGAGGAAGAGATAGATGACTGCAGAGAGCCTCAGTGGCGGGTGAAGATGAGCTCGCTTCCCCAAAGCCCTCATCGACTCTCGGGGCAGACAGTAGCTACAGTCGCCGCTGGCAACCACTAATGAGATGTGACATGCTTTAATTGATGAGTTTTAGAGAGGGGCGGAGAAGGGAGGGATGGGGACGGATGGGAATGAGCTAAAGACAAGAGTGAGGAGCTGTTCTCACCCGCAGGAGCCGTTGTACTCAAACTTTCCCTGGTTCAACTGCATGGCCAGATCTTAGACAGAAGAAGAGAGGTGTTTAGGGACTGAGACACAGATATCTGGTTCTCACGTTAATCACACATCCAACAAATCTTTAATAAAACAATTTAACAATTCATTAATTTGCATCTGTTTGTATGGAGCTTTTTTGCTGAAAAGAGAGAGGGAAAGATTTCACATTTCCCCTGAAATTTCTCCCCTCTATTTCTTCCTCCATCATAGAAGCTCCATCTCTTATGTGACCCCACCCCCTCCAGCCTCACACATGCTCCGCTCCCAGCAGGCCATATGGTCCGACCCCTTTTGCCTCTGGCCATGGGGCAGCAGCTGTTTTTCAACAGGCACCACTCGCTGTATAGGTGTGTGTGTTTATATGATAGTGGGTGAGGGGAGTTGCAGAACCTGATGCCCCTGATGTGCTTTTTAATTTGGGTGAACTGACCCTTTAAACTAACATTTCAGTCAAAACTGGATCTTCATTCAGTCAAAATGTCCTTGTTCTTGTGCAAGTTAGTTGGTGTGAGTGAGGGTAAGTGGGTCCATGTTCATCCAGATAACACATGTAGAAGATAATGAGGTCAGAAGTTGACTGCATTCTGCACTATGTTCGAATATAAGATTAGCTGAGAGCTTGTGTTTCAATATGCATGTGTGTTTGTAAAATGTATATACTGTATGTGGAGTTCTGCATACGGGTGTATGTGAGGTCAGAGGTCCCATGTTGCGTGCTGTGGTACCTGGGGTCTGGAAGTTGAGTGAGACCATCTGGCAGCCTGCGTTCCAGAAGATCTGAGGCATGTAATTACTGGAGTCCACCCGGCCCCCTTTGGGGTAGATACGGCTCATCTGACGCTTGTTGTAGCTGCACTGACGCTCAGGAATTTATTTTTTTTAAATGAGAGGGAGAGCATGCGAGTTCCAGCATATGTGTGGGTATGCATTTGAGTTCTCGTGTGTGTGTGTGCGCGTCAAACAGACTGCAAGACTATTTTTAGTGTGAACAGCTTGGGTCAAGCAGTCCCATTGGAGATAGAGGGGGAGAGAGAGGCAAAGTGTATGTGTGTGTCAGGCCAAGTCACACAGTCTAAAAGTGGCCTCTAGAGGCCTCCAGTTCTTTTCCGACAGCAGAGCGGAAACAAATACGGCTGAAAAACATCAGCTCTGACCTGCCACTCAGCTGTCATTTAGGTGACCTCAATCTATTAAGTTAAAACTCAGTTTATTAGAAAAGTACATAGCTTTACTCAGGGGTGGAATGTGATCTCAGTACAGATTAGTGGTAATCTTAGTAGTGCTGATCATAACATCCAAGCTGTTTTTTCTTTTGTGTAACATTTAGAGGATCAATTGGCACAAAAAAAAATATAATATTCATTTTATTCCATTTGAGTTGGTCATCTGCCCCATGTTTAATCACCTGATAATAAGAATCCCTTTGTTTTTGTTACCCCTAGAATGAGCCATTTCTCATCTGCAGACCTGGGTCACTTCCATTGAGGCCACCATATTGAACCACCATGTTTCCACAGTAGGTCAGAATGGGTGCACCAAACACTTGGAAGGGGAGGATGAAGGGAGGGAGTTTTAATATGCAACTACAACATTAGATGCCACTAGATCTTACAAACTGGACCTTTTAAAGCAGTTATAATTGATACTTTTATAATAACAATGTATTAAATGATGACAATGTGAGGTATCTTCTAGTGAGGAGCCTAGAAAGAATCTTCAGTTTCCCTGGGCTTTACTGTGGTTTTACAGAGTTTGCCATATCACCTGAAGAGGTGATGATATGTTAATGTGTGTTCACAATTTGGTTCTGCTGCCACCAAGGGGCCATAAACATAAGTTACTGCAGTAAGTGTCTTAAGATTATAGTTCAGTAGCACACAGGATGGATACCTTCAATTTTTGTTTATGAAAGATTTTCTGATACAGAATAGTAATTAAATAGGTCTTGTACAATAACAATTTGACCACTTCTAATAATATATTTTTTTGCTATTGTTCAGATAAATGCAGAACAGCTATGACCCAAAGGATACTTGACAAACTCTATGGCATTGGTCTTCAGATAGCCCAGGCCAACAGACTCGTTAAAAGATGACATGTTATGGTGGATGTTCCTTTCTGAAACACAGTAAAGGGAATGATAAGTGTTAATTGCATCTTGCTTTTAAAATGGATCATCTTTGTACAGTTTTATATTATGTATTTATGAACAATAAGCCGGCATGGTTACAGTAGAAACAAATCAAAAAGTTGTAAAACAAGTCCAAGCTCACCTTCTGCTACATCAAAACTCTGGAACTTGACAGGCTGTGCGTAGTTGACCATGGCTGAGAGATACGGGTGGATGTTAGTCGTGGCTCCTACATAGGTGTACTGAGCTATCAGAGCCTCTTCAGAGTCTTCTGCCTCCTCCACGACCTGCATAGACGGGTACAAACGTTAACAAATACCTATGTTTTACACACACTTAAAACTGGATTGATGTGATGCATTAACCCAGACATGACATTTGTTTTTCACTAAAAAGTGATTAAGTGTGTGTGAGTGAGAGAAAGTAAGTGAAGTGGCAGTTGTGTGCGTGCCTTCTTGTTATTGTCTTGTTCAGATGCTTCTGAGATATCTGTGGCGTCTGTTGCTTCTGTGGCTTCAGATATCTCTGCTACTTCATCTTCAGGCACCTGGAAACAGATAGATAAAATGCTCCCTCTCAATATTGGACAACATGTCAACACTTTACTTCTTAAATGATAATGACTCATTTAATGAAGAAAAAAATATCCAATTATCTTTTTTAAAGAAAACATTCCAGAAAATTCCTACTTCTAATTTATTTTTTCCCTTGCTATTTTTGTTTCAGATGCATTAGCTCTTCAGAACCGAAGGCTTTTGGACACATAGGTAAGACCTGACCTCAGCATTGTAATCTGTTAGTTCTAAAGGGATAAACAGAACGTACATTACTTCACTTTCTTTGCAGCTGTTTTTACTAGCTGATTGAACAAATCAGTTTAATTTACAATTAAATGGTATCCTCTGTCTTTCTTGACCTGGACCAATTTTCCCATGTTTTGGTCCAGAATTGAGTAGGAGCACTTCACCCGTGAAACAAGCTACAAGGTTATCCTTGCAAGGAATTGCCCATCATCGTCTGTTAAGTGCTATAAGTATCTTACAACAGAGAAATTTAATGTTTTCTGTTACTTTTGCTTGATCCGCTTCATCTAACCAAGTCTTGCTCAAGAAGTCTTGTTCTGAAATCTTGCTCAGGACTTGGTGCAGGAAGTCAACAGTGAAAACGTAAGACAGTAATGCCGTCCGGGGAGAGTTTAATAGATATAACAAAACAAAATATTACAAAACATAATAGAAAATATAAGACTATAAATGAGTATATACACTATGCAATATTCAAGTAAGAATGGTGTGCAGATATTGACAAAAACTAAACTGTACATGTAGAAATTAAATATATATAGTTGTGCAAAAAGTTTGTGCGTTGTAGTTTGGAGTTTAAACCGGTCTTAGTCTGCAGGGTTGGAGGTACTGGGTGCTGTGGCATTGTGGAGTCTGATGGCTGATGGTACAAACGAGCCTCCAAACCGCTTTGAGGCTTGGGGCTTGGTCAGTCTGTGGCTGAAAGTGCTCCAGCTGCTGCAAAGCTTGGGAGATTGGTGGTGTGCTGCAGCGCTCCCACTCAATACTAGATCAAATTCAAAACTTGTTGTCCCCATTAGTCACATTGACACAAAAATATGGGGAGGTAAGAGCAAGGTTGAAAAATAACAAAGTTACCCTTTTTAGTTTGTACTTGCACTACCATGGATACAAACCTTCATGTTTTATGTTTTTGATTTTGATTTGACCTTTAAAATGTCCAAATTATCCAGAGCGATATAGGTGAATTGGCACAGAACATACTGTATGGATTGGAAATGAGTGAGTGCACCCGCTTCAGAGCAATGTTTGTGATCACAAGAGTAAAATAACTTTTTGCAGAACAAATTCTAATTTAAATAAACATTGCTATGTGGTTATTGACACATTTTACTCTGATGATACTTGCTCAAGTCTAATACAGATTCTGTCTCAAACCTATAACCTTTTCATTGTGAGTCTTGATGATTTAGAACACAGTACCACCGTGTTCCTACTGAGATCTGCTGTAAGCCTAAGGCATTACTGGTTACTGGTAGTGTAATGGTTCATTTTAGAATTTCAGAAGCCAAACAATCTTCAAAGTGACAACCTACCTTCTTGATACTGTTGCTGTGTTCTTCCTCTTTGCTTGAGCTGACAGCGTTACTCTGGGAAACACTGTTGGCCTCTTTCTCACTGGTTGCCTCTGACAGACTGCTGGGGGCCTCTGAATTCAAATCTTTATCCTCAGCCTCCTTTTCTCCTACAGGTACATACCCAAAAATCACACAAATGTATTTTGGACCAAACGTTTTCTGCTAACAATGTTGTTTTTCATTACTTGATGCATACAGTCTCTATTTGAACAAGCTGTCATGCTAAGCAATCGTTCTTTACACTGAGCACTTGATGCAGTTTTTTGAAGATGTGTTGTTTGTTCTTAAAACATTGTGGTCTTTCTCTAATCAAATGTAAAGCCATTAAAATGTTTGCCAATCATTTTCCCTTTAAACACAATTGTTTAAAATATGTTTGATAAGGTGTCATGTTGTGCACGTCTCACTCCACCTCCTTTATAACTTACTATATATACATATATGCACACACATAGACCGTCATTTAGCTGACCGTTCTCTGTGTCGTCTTCATTCTCCTCGCCCATAATGATGGCAGGGGTGTTGGTCTCTCCTGCCTCCATGTGTTTTTTAAAGGCCTCTAGCTGTTCTGTATGGCGCACACACACACACACACACACACAAACACTCGTTTAACACTTAAATCATATGAAGAACAGAGAGTTAACATGTCAACAGGCTGAGTTGTGTACTCACTCTGTTCAACTTCAGGTTTCAAGCGTTTGTTTTTGATGAGGATTTTACGTTTGAGATCATTTGGAGAAGGTAAGGGGCGCCCAGATTCAATCTGCCAAAGAAAACATAAACATACACTTAAATATATTGATTACTGTCATCCAAATGCAACAAACTCTGAGGGACATTGTGCATCAGAAAGAGGATTTACCGGGTAGTTTTCCAGAGGCAGTTTGAGGAGGAAGTCACCAAAAAGCTCCTCACAATACTTGGCCATCTTGTACTGCTGTGGTTTACTGGTGATATACATACACATACAGAATGCACTGGGTCCATCTACTATATCTATAAAATCAATAGACAAATCATTATGCCTTACTTATTACTAGTTGTACACATACCTGCAATGGTTTTCAAAGGACAAAATAACAGGGTAGTCTGAAGTGACAAATGCTGTCTCTTTGATGGCTTGGATAACATCCTGTTGGGGGGAAAAAAGAAAAAGATGAAGCATGAAAAAAGAAGTGGATGAGAGAGGAAGAGGCTGTGATATATGCAATATCACACTCTCAACACAAGGGGGCAGACATACCTTGTGCAATAATACAGAAGCAGTCAGAAAAAGACTCAAGCAACTGTTGCAGTGAACAGCAGCACTATTCTACTTTGTAAGAGTGTGTGTGTGTGTTCACCTTGAACAGGATGTCTGTGCACATGGCCTTGCCATGAGTAATAATGGGCTCTTGGTCCTCTCCTTTCCCATCCCAGCAGTCCAGCTCCACACATCTGACAGGAAGGAAAGCACACAGAATATATAATATAATGGACACGCAGAATTGAGACACACTTTAACTTAGTTGCATACACATTCTGTTAAGTCTGGGTGTGCGTTTGCATGAATGCAGTGGAGTGCATGTATGTCTACACATGTGTCACATCTTAACAGACCATGACACACTTGTGTACCTGCATCCAGACAGCAGGACCTGGCGGTACATCTCTACTGAAGACTTCCCTCCAAACTGTCGCCCTGTCAAGTAAGTGTTGTGGGAGGAGCTGATGAAATAGTGGGCCAGTGGCTGGTCCATTTCCTGGTACAACTCCAGCCGGTCCAAGAAAACCGGCGCGTTTTCGTCTGACATCAGGTACCGGCAGAACCCATCACTGGACATGTAACCTAGAGAAGAAGTTAACAGGATTGACAGTAACTAACAATGTTTCTCTACTATAAAGAGTAGAGACTCCAACAGTATCAGAACAGCTGCACACGCAACCATTACGCACACCTTTGGCTGTGTATGCCTGTACCACTAATTCATCACATATACCTGCAAACAATCATTGCAGTAATAGTTTGATCATTATTATTATTAAACGTAAAAGGGGCGATCAATGATTAAGTCATTGAACCTTCTTTAAAGTGCTCCACAATTCATGATCAAATGAGAAGATAATTAACATGGGAATTATGTTGAATGTAAATAAAAAGAATGATAAAATTCATTGCTTGTAAATAATTCCAAATTAGGTTGATAAATGCATCTCTGAGTAACATTTTCCACAACACTGTGTAGACTGCAAAATGAATACTAATATAAATTAGAAACAATCTAATCAAACAATGTTTTACTATAAGTTACTATAACCGCTCACCTTACATTTTATGTCCACCTCATCATATCACCTGCAACTATCTTTTAAAATCTGTGTACGCCTGGTCTAAAGTACACGTGAAGTTTTGGAAAAGGTGTACACATGGTTTTTGTGCATACACACTAATTATACATCTGGCCCTCAGCTGAGGCTGAAAATAATCAATTGGCAGAGAACGGTGCCAATAACCTGATGTAACAGACTGTAGTTTCAAAGGTACACAGGAAGAAGGCAGCACAGTCTCACATATCTCTTTCCCCCCCTTTTCCCTCCACGCCTCTATTTTACCTTTCTTCTTTAGCTCATCATCTCGCTCGTATTTCTCAATGATCTGCATGGCTCTCTTGGGGTCGTAGAACGGGAACAGGATCTCATTTAACCTAGGGTCACGCTGGTTCTGAGGAACAACCACACACACAGATTGATCCACAAACGTATTGTCTACATGCAAACCTATTTCCAAACAAACTAGATGAAGTACAAAAAACATCATACACACAGAACTTAATGCAACATGGGGTACCAGAAGTGCTCATATCAAGAACTGTCATTTTCTTATTTGGACTAATATCAAATAAATCAACATAGTTTTAATATTTTAATTATTGTGACCTTGAATAGAGAGCACTCAGGTATCAACAGGATATAACAAACAACATTTAATTCTAAGATGTTCATAAGAAACTGTGAGGCACGCTAACAGGTGCAGTGGTTAAGTGTTTGATTAAAAGCAAGGAAGTCATGTTGGAGAGGTCCAAGGCAGCTCTACTTTAACAAAACAACAGCACCAAAACATCATTACAATGCCACTGCCCACTCACAAAGCCAGGTGGGAATTCATCTAACCAAAGCTTTGGCTCCATTGGCGGGTCTAGAGTGTGATGAAGCAGCACACATGCGACTGCACAGCGGAGGGACTAAGCAGGTATCGAGCCACACAGACGAACACGGCCACAGAAAACAGACAGCAGGAAGCCTCTACCCTCCCATTGCCATAGCAACACCAATCAGACACGGGGATGCAAGCCGCGGTAGGGAGAACATGGGGAATGGGATGAGGGCGGGAATGCAGAATAGGGGAGATGGTTGAAGTTGCCCTTGCAAGCTGACTGGAAGTTAAATATTTTGTCTGTCTCACTCCATTTGTCTTAACGGAGTTTTAAGGGTCAGCTGATGTCCAGTCTGGGCTGGAGGGCAACTTCTACCCAGAGCAGGACAGGGGGTAAGAAGGCAGGGGAGTTTCAGAGAGGGGCACGGTGAAGCAAAATACACAGAGAAGTTAATGAAATGATAAAGAGCTTACTTCATTCAGAAAGCTGACTAACTGGTCTACAGTTAAATAATCAGTTTTGTTCCCATTGCTGCAAAGGAATTAATTAGAAAAAAACAACAAAATGTTATGCTTCTCAAAATAGACCTCACAGTCTTTCACACAGTCAGTTAAAATTAGAAAGCAGTCTTTATAAAAGTATTATACTTAAATGTTACACTTTTAGTAATAACATGTTAATCACTCATAATTAACGTTGAACTGTGGAAGCAGGTTAGGCTGTCCAGACATAGTTAGTGCAGCAGGCGCAGAAATATTTGTCCTGATTATTTCCAACAAGATGCAGTAGCTCGCACTCTGGGACTATTTTAACAGTGGACATCATTGTTCTATTTAGGCACAACATGGTAACAGGGGTATAATACTATGCAAGGGGACTGTTGTTAAGTTGTTTATTTGGAGGATTTATCATGTTCGATTTTTAATTTTCAGGTACAAAATCAGTAAACATTACATTTACAAAAAAGAGGGCAGGCAAGATTAAAAAAACAGGAGACTCACATCTTCTTGAAGAGTTCCTCTATGTCTGTGCGAGGGCAGATCTTCTGTGTGAGCGCGTAGAAAATGTCATAGGTGAAATCTGATGGTTCAATCTCATCATTCTGTGGAAGACAGAAAAATCTGCCATTTGTTAACACAAGACCTATAACCCTACAGATTAAAGTGTGCAGAAAGCCAATACGTGATCCAATTAACCACTACAGTCTACAGTGTTGTCTGACCTTTCCACTAGGAAGGCCAAGATCCTTTAGAGCCTGAAAGATCCCCTTCTCTGTCTTTCCTGATGCAAAAGTTCGAGTAACGCTATAAAAAGGGAGAGAGAGAGAGAGACACAGTACGGGTGAAGAGAACAATTGAGTGAGACAAACTGGAGTAAGATGGGATGTCACAACGCTTAACCAAATATCCCATCAGTTTACTCTTACCCTCTCACAGGAATCTTCCCATTCACATTGGTCAGGAAGCACATTCTCATCCAACTAAACAAAAAGAAGACACACAGAAAAGCACAGATTAGAGAAAGGGCTGTTTTCACCAAAGAATGTAGATAATTGAGACATGCTGAGAAATGCACTCACTGTTTCTTGAGGCAGGTCATTGGACAGACGTTGTTGGCCTTAAAATTGTGAATCACTGACCTCAAACCCTCGATCCACTTCTGCAAACAAACAGGCACAAGTATTGAGGACACACACTCTAAACACACTGACCAACCGAGGCCCACACATACAGTACGCAGCAGCTACAAGCTTATCTCCAAAGTGTGCATTGAGTTTAGAAGTGAGAGTCTTTGGGGAGATAAACACAAGCAAATTAATTGCCTCTTAATTCAGACACGGATGAGCACCTTGACAGGACAATCAGGAACACAAATGTTAAAAAAAAAAAAAAATACACAGAATGATAAACACATTGAGCTGATGCAAGGCTACAAGCAGTGACAGTCAATAGCTTTACATGAATATACTGCTGAGTGCATCAACAGAAACACCACTGAGGTTGATAATCTGAAAATTTTTGACCTCTGTCTTTCTGTGTCTGACTGTCTTTGACTCCAACTCTCTGTCTTCATGCTCCGTCTCTCCTCCACTTCCACAGCAAATTATTACTGACATCATTATAAAAACATTAAACAAGATAACGCGTGCAGCAGGGGTAGTCTGTTTGGGCATGTGGCGTCCGTGAAGCTGTGTGTGTTTGTGTGAACGTGTGTCTGCAGATGTAAATAACTCAGTCATCTCCCGAGGTCTGCTACTTAGGGCCACCTGCATGCTGGGAGGTGGTGATGGTGTCGTGGTGTGTTTGTGTGTATGTGAGAGAGAGGAAAAGCAGGAATAAATGTGTTTTAAACTATGGGGGAGGAGGGCGTGTACCTGCATCTGTGTGTGTGTGTGTGTGTGTGTGCTACAACCATCAGGCCTACGAGCTGCAGGCTGTTGCATGAATATCATTGGCAGCCCCGTGGCAGTGAGCTCTCTGGAGCACAAACATCATTTATAACACCCATCACCACAAAAACACCCCCTCATGGGAAATGCATAAACACCAACACTGCCAAATAACAGATCTGTGCTGGCAGAAAACACACATTTTGGGTTTTGTTTGAACCTGGTTGTGATTTTGAATCAGTTTTTTTGTCAAAACTGACCTCTTTAAATACATTAAATATTCTAAAAAACAATCAAATCAAAAAACTATCACTAGGTTATTTATTCTGGATTGACCACCCTGAGGCTGAGAATAACTACACTCATTTTAAGATGTCAAAGTGCTAAATCTTGCTTTTTCTCTGTGTCTTTCGATTACTGCTCAGCCTTTGGGCCACACTGCACCACTAAATAGAAGATAGCTGACTCTAATGGTTTCTTTTTTTCTCCACAGGTTTTCTTTGCCTTGAAGCGGCCTGTAATCTTAAACAGTCATCCAAAGCTTTGCCAAAAGGCCAAAGGATAAGGCTGCTGATATTCTATACTTTTAATATTGAACAAATCCCACGAAAAGACTAAAAACCAGCAATCAGTTTATAAGATTATTATAAGATATAAGATTATTCCTCTGTGCCATGGACCTACATTTTTGCCATAAATACTTACTAACATGCCATATTTGTATTATTTCTGGCTAAAAATAGTCCCCAACAAATTAGTACTGTTTTGTACAAGAGGCCCAGCTGTTTTAGGATATTACATAGCCTTTTAAAAATCAATATATACATTTGTGCCTCATTTTGAAAGATTTACAAACCTCTAGTAGGAACAAATGGGCTTGGAGTTGAGTGACACAGACAGGTAGGGAAAGACCAACTAACTATTACTGATTTTGGTCTTTTTATTGAATAACGACAACTTTCTCCTTTGAAAAGCAACCTTTTTTTTATTGTAAAGCATTTCCATTATGCCACCACTGACACTTCAATTATTTGGTTCATCCTAGTAATGTCACTCTCGAAATCTGAATCAATTCAGCTCCAGAAAACTGAAATTTAATCTGCACATATGGTGTGTACTTTGGGCTATGCAGAGTGTGTACAATGTTTGGACATTTGCCAGCAGGGGTCAGCAATAATAATGTCTGCGGAATAAGAGAGAGAGATACAGACAGACAGAGGAGGGGGTGTCATTTGTCTGAGCCCAAAACAAGTGATGAGTGAGAAAGAGCGAGAGTGGAAGCGATAAAGAGAAAGGTGCAGAGGTGTTTCTCTACTCAATAAGGCAGTCGTATTTCTCACAAAGCTTTTTCCTAGATGAGTGGGAAGAAAAATAGAAACATAGAGCCAGTGAGAGAGAGAAAGGGAAAAGAGAAGAGAGAGTAGACAAAATGTATCAGCAAAAGCAGGAGTGCAGGAGGGACAGGGGGGAGATAGAAATGGGGTGAGACAGGGAAAAATGAGTCACTCCAAATGTGTCTATTTATCAGAGTGAACCAAGGCCAGATTTGCCTTGTGTGGGAGTTGGCATGTGAACCATTCACCTGACAATTTGCTTTTGCTCTATCACTGAAAGTGGTAAGAACAAAACTGAAAATGTTTAGATAAGAGTGTGTTCAGCAGACATGCAGGAAAACTAATTCCACTTATTTTGTCTAAACAACCCAGTCTTAGTTTATTCAGTCCAGGGCTTAACAATAAGGCTTGTCCGGGGCAAGTAAAATGCCACGTCCGGCTAGTAACTCTAGCAGCTCACTTGCCCAATTGGGTAAGTGGTAAAAAAGAATCAAACACAAGCTGATGATGGAAGTAATTGGGCACAGAAATTGCCGGTGGTTAAATACCGAGTTTGTGAGCCAAAGCGCAATCAAGCATTTCAATGATCCTGGACACAGGTGTTTAGTTGTGTGGCATACCTGAAGACAACAGAAATAGCCAGTATATACAGATATACAATACTATGTTAAGTAATATGGGTCTGCCGTCATTGGTATCATTCTCAGTCATAAGTGCAACAGCACCAAGCAAAGGAAGTAGTGCATGCATGTATGTACCCTGGCTGTGTCGGGGCTCTCCGCCACCATGAACATGAAGTTGAGGTTGACCAGGTCTGTGCCGCTGCAGATGCAGATGATGCAGCCCTCTAAGTCTGCCTCCGTCTTTCCAATGGCCTCAAATGATGACAAGATCTTGGGGTCCTGAGAACAAGAGAAAACATGGCAGTTTAGAAGGCAGACTGGTAGATGAATACATGATGCCCAGAAAGACAAAATAAATATGAAGACACAAACAGATGAGAGATAAAGCAATGGGTCTATGCTGTCCAGGTGTCAAATCTCTGACATTTTGAGAGTTAGTGGATCAAATGGAAAAATCTAAGGGGATGTTTTAATCTCCTACTTTGTATTGTTGCAGAAAATGGTTTCTGACAAGAGACCACAATGGGAAAGGAGCTTACACAGAAGGATGTTCAGATGTTTATTGCTATTGTAGAAAAGCCCCGGGATGTTACAAAATATTATATACCGTATGCATCATGCTTGGGAGACTTGTGAAAGCTCCATGTCAGCTAAATAAGGATACAATAGATATCCATCATGGAAGAACAAATTCAAATACTAAATTCAAAAGAAATCTTAGTAGCTTGAAGAGTTCCACTGAATTTATATTTGGATGCATTTACCAGAACTGGAAAGTAAGACATATTTCTTATTTACTATACATGTTGGACAGGGTTTTTGCTAAGAATACAAATCCTTGGACACTCAGACATGATTGGTTGTCTTTATTGTCAGTGGGTTTTAATGTAAATAGCCCATCTGCACAGGACTTACATATGCATTAGACCTTTTTTAATGCTACCCATATCAGTAAGACAACATAAACAACCAAAAAATAACAACAATAAACAAGCAAGAACAGACTGATTTGAATTCTGATTGAGCACACATAATAAAAGTCAGGAAGCTATATATAATTGAGCAACATAATCACAATAGGAAATAAAGTCTTGGGTATGGCGATGATGTCGAAACCATTTGACTCATTATATTAACCCCATCCAGTGGCTATTAATCTTAGATTAAATTTGCATGTGGGGCATGCTTGATATGACCAGCTAATGATGTGAGGCACCACAGAAAAATAAAACTGACCCTATTATTGGTCCAAATTCCATCTATTGGTGAAACTACATAAGTCATGACCTTTGCTTCGTCATCTAATTTTACAACAAATAAGAAAACCAGCATTATACACTTAAACAATACAACCTCAACTGTTAGGCAAAATGAATTACAGCAATCTATATTAATACTAAAAAATGAATACCCCTAATTACACTATGCTTTATAAGACATTACATGTGACATTTTTGGCTTTTAAAAACCTATAGTTACCCCGGTTTTTTCCCTCTAAATAACCTACAGACATCACCACAGTTCAGCCTGACAAGACTGCAAACTTCTGTTCAATCGTGAAACTGAAAATCCATTAAAACCTTTTCTAACTATTAAAAACACAGCATGTCTCCTCTTTCTTATCATCTCAGATTTCAGTCTGCTACCATTGTCACCATGGAAGATAGTAATGTATTTTTGTTATATGATTGAATTAACAGCAACAGGCAACAGGCTCTGCCGTTTTAAAACCCCAGCCAGCAATCCTCCAATGCAATTCATCATTCCTCGCTCATTGGATTATCTGAAACAGCTCTTAGAGCTTGTGTAACCATGTTAGCCTCTGAGGAAAAGCCCTGCTATCAGTTGTCTTAGTCTGCTACTTACAGAACAGTACAGAACAAACAGGAGGAGCTGCTATCAGGCTGCAGTATCTGTATACGTGCCCCTGCACATGTACATACACACACGTCTGCACAGAAGACCGAGCAAACAGACCATCTCCTGCTGTCAACAATACATACACAGTCTGGTAATGGTTATGTACACAGTACACACCAGTGTCTCCTGTCAGGCTTGTGACTTTTAGTGGCTTGACAGGTTTGCATCCTAATTAGAGGCATGCATTCACATGGGTATTCCCGTAACAGCTTTCATAATTCATCCAGTCTGTATGATGCCAAATACGACATAATGTGTCACTGTCAAGGCTAAACTGTACGAATCAATATTTAATATACAGAGACACTATACAGGTTTGTGTTTGTGTGTGTATCTGGTTCCATATCAGCTAAATAAATAATTGGTTGCCAGCTGCACTGAAAATACAGAATAATGCAGCTGGCCATGTACATATTGGCAATTTCAAGATCAGTTTCCTTATACAAGATAGGAAAAGGCATTCTGCCAGAGACAGAACGTCTTATACCTGTCAGCTTTTGATCCCATAGTGTGAACTCCTTAACTCAGTGGTTCTCTGACAGCCCATTATAAGAGGGCTGGAAGAACAGTTTTTCATTATTCCTCTCTGGGTCAAAAGCACAAGCCAGGGCTGCAAAAAAAGTTTTGGATACAACCTGCAGCTAAACCCAGTCAGGGTTGTATAAATATTGATGAGTTAAATATTTCATGTTTATGTTCTGCTAGTGCCCCTGGTGAATCTAGTAGTTAAGACAGAATCTCAGCAGTGAGAACTCAACTGAGAGTCCCAGATCAGTCAGTCGATCGATAGAGTACACTGCTATTGTAGCCATGTCTAATAAAAGCATGAATAACGACGTGGCAGCCTTTCGAGATTTTAGCAGGAGTGTCACTGTCGGAGCAAGAGACTGAATGTTGGGTGGGGTGGGCAGAGAGCATGAATGTTGTGGAAACAGAAAGTGAGGATATTGTCTTTCCTGAGCTCTCACCTTTGGGACGGCACCAACACGGATACTGTTGATGAGGGAACACTCGAGAACTTGGCCTTCCTGCAGGAAGATAAAGAGAAAGAAGTAGAGGGAAATGTGTTAGCAGGTGAAGAGGGAGACAGAGAGGGAAGGGTGAATTGAAAGAAAACAAGCATTTTGTTTGTGATTTTTGCAATCATTTCTAATGCTCAGTACAGGGGCAGCACCACGACCTCTCAGCATCCGTCAACAGTTATTAACGTAGGTCATGAGTAATATGTCTTTCTCATAATCAAGTTTCCAACACCTACAACAATTCCTCCTTTGTATACTGCTGCCAGATAAGGCCCACTGGTTCTATTTTGTGGTTTTATTTTTATTCCCAGTGAGACAGTCTCCAGGCTCCTGCAACACCACACAGGTTAAAGTAGGTTTGGATTGGAAGATTTTTGTTTGTCTGTTTTCCAGGTTTTGCTGTTGACCAGCAGACTCCAGCTATGATGGAACAGCTATATTCTATTTGAGTTGATATTACTACTGTACACACAGAAGGAAGGAACTCAATCTTGGTCATATTCATCAGTAGATTTGTAGTTAATGTAACACACTACAATCACCAGTAAGGTCCTTTAAGCTTTTGAAAATATCAGTTTGGTAGATGCAAATGCAATTAAACTTAGCCTTGATTATCAGATATTGTGTTGTTTTTTTCAATATCGCACACATTTCTTCATGGTGATGGGACAGTGATGCTTAGTCTATTTAAGTTACAGAAACACCACCTGTAACTACTTATACCCCCAGGTCTCTGCTTTAAATAACAAAGTGTTCTTATTTAAATTAGTTTGGAAAATAAAGGTTAACAAAGGATAACATTAACAAACGTCAAGTTAAATTGAATGTTTAGCTAAGCTTTTCTATATAATCTAAAGATGGCACTCTCTACTAAAGTCTGCCTAGCAGACAAAGGAATACACAAAAATGAACAGGTGGAGGTTGTACCTTTCCCTCACTCTTCCAGGTGATGAAGAAGCCATACTCGTCCACCTTCATCTGACAGTTGGGCTCAAAGGTGTACGGGTCCTGCAGAAGGGAAAATATTTTTTTTTATAAGAGAGGGGGCTTCATCAATCAGAGGGTTTTATTTGACATGGGAAGACATTAAACAGCCAGCCTGTTGAACACACAAAGCTTACGCAACCAGATAAACAGATGTAGTTCTAATTCATTTTCTAAGATGTACCTGCCTGTCAAAGGATACACACACAAAACCATACACAGAAAGTATGTGCAAATACATTCAGTATACACACAAACACGTTGCATGCAGAGGAGATTATTGCTAAGACAAACACAAAGTGAGATAGACGTGACTGCCTTGAACTTTTAAATGCAAACATCATCTGCGCTATGCATTAGAGACAGGGACAACACTGGATGAAGTGCATATGGGTGTGTGTGTGTGTGTGTGTGTGTCTGTGCATGTGTTTGAGCCAGATTCAAAAGTGTGCTAGCCCAGCTTCTATGATGCTACTATACACACATAGTCTAATGTTCCATCTATCAGCTCGTGTGCAACATGCAGCGACCCCTATTCAGTTCAACGTCGGTGTCGGAGCAGAAAATCTGCTAACATTAGCCTGCTTATCTTACCCAAACATTTTCCACTCAATTCAATTGTGCTGATGAATGACTGTGTGTGTGTGTGTTTTTTTTATCCCACATCTGACAAGGATAAAACATTAGTGAGAAAAAAAATAGAATAAAAGATGTCTGCTGGGTCACCAACTCTGATATTAACAATAGGGAACAGTGTGACACACTCACTCACACATCATTTATTATTTCAGGATGTTGCTTCCATGAGGTACACTGCTGCAAATAGGACTGAGCTGGCTTCTTCTTTGGCTGCGTTATCTAAAGCCATCATAAAAAACTATTGAATAATCCTATTTCCATTTAGGAAATAGTGAGACGTGCAGTTAAAAGCTTGACTTTCTTTTATCTGAATTAGGACTGACAGAGGCTTCAATTGCACATAGTGAAGCCGACTCTATTTAAGAGATGGTCCCAAATGAGCCTTGACTGGTAAGAACATACAGCAGGCTAGTGTTACACTATCAGATGGATTGTTCTTGTAAAGCTAAAAGGTTTATGGGAACACTCAGTCCTTCCACACGCAAAGGAACAATTAGCTGAAGGTCCAACTATCTCAGGGTGGATTTGGATGGATACAGACCCCTGGTTGTGGTAGTCCAGTCCCCACTCAACATGTGTGCATTCTTTCCTAAGTGCCTGGGCAAGTGCAGCTCCAAGTGTGTGTGCATGTCTGTCTGTTGATCCCTGTTATTTTGTCCCCTCCATCACAACAATCTTCATTTAAATGTGTTTGTGTGCTCTCTCACACACACACATAGCACACGCGCAGGTAAAGCACATTGATGATTTATGTTACTATGTCTGCATTTACTATTTTAAGTTAAGCTACACAAAAACTCGTTTCTTTACATCCACATGAATGTCCATCAAGAGGACATAAAGCACACACATATCCAAACAAAAAGTCATTCTCACACACACACACACACACACACACACACACCTACACACACCTACACACACCCACACACACACACACACACACACCCACACACACACACACAGGCTGGTTGATGAAAACACAGGAAGTGCTGCATGTCATGTCTCCCTCGACTGCCTGGTGCTCAACAGTGAATGACTTTAATCGTGATGAATCAGTATTATTAATAATGCAAAAATGCAAGGTAATTATGCTCAGTCTCTACTTTCCTTGTTTTGTTATTTTAGCCATATTCTTATTTGCATTACATCCTAATTTTGCTGTTAGTGTTTAAGCTAAGTTTCTTTTTTATTCCCAAACGCTGCATGTATAATAGTCTTATGCAGCCTTTCAGTCAACTTCAAAGTATTACCGTTTTCTAATCTTTTGTGAACAGCAAGGAAGTACAGCTATATTCACCAGGTAAGTCTATTTCATGGATGGAGTGGATCATTTGTATGTATTGTACCCTCAGCCAAATTCATCAAACCAATTTTATGACCTGACTAAACTGATCCAGGCTGAGTATGATAAAATTTGACTAAATAAGCAAGAGAGCAACAGAACCACTTGTCCACTTGTTTACAGTGTCTCAAAATTCTGACCTGCTTTTCTCTGTCTGTCAATATTAAGCCGTTCAGTCCCCATGGAAACCAAACATCACCCAGATCTTAAGTGATTGATTTCCAATCAGTAAGACAATCAATGAAACACACACACACACACCTACACCTACACACACACACACCTACACACCTACGCACACACACACACACACACATACACACACACAGAGGAAGCCCTTTGGGTGTTTGCATGACTGATCACTAAGGATCTTATTGACCGCTGACAAGCACACACTACAGCACAAAATTAGAAAGACACAATAACAAAATTTCAGAAAGACAATTAAAAGACAGGCACTAACACCACTGCTTCTATACGAAGAGAGGACAAATATCACAAAGCATTCTGGGACATGAGAATGCTTTTACAAATACTCTATGTTGGATATTCTTATTTTAGACAGGACCATAATAACTACATGTAGCGTTAGAGACTTCATGTAATGGCACAAAGCTTTGAATTGCACTGAAAACTAAGTAAGAACAAACACACACACGCACACAGTACACGCACGGACACAATTGCACGTTACCTGTCTCTACCATCTGTCACTCAATGGGGTTTCACTCAGTGGAGAATGTTTTGTGGAAAAGAATCCATGCTGTTTAGCATATTTATGTGTGTATGTGTGTCTGTTCTTGTGTGTATGTGTTTGAGTGCCCGTGTGAGAGGGACTGATAAAGAGCATGTCCATGTCTGTGGGTGGACTTGGCATACGTCATTTCAATCGAAGCAGATGTCTGCTGCAGCCTTTGTAATAGCCAGGCAACAGAGCAACTATTCATTCACTCACATATATACAGACACAGAGAATACAATGCAGTCATTTGTAAAAGGCAGACATTACTACCCCATGTTCATAACGACAGGTCAGAGTTCAGCAAACAAAAACCCACTTTGTTAACAAATTAAAGACTATCCCTCCAGAGATTCACTAGTTTGAGTCAACTGCCAAGGAAGAGTTGACAGTCAGATAAGATGTAACTACTATCAAAGAAATTCTAGCCTTTAGTCCTCAGATACAAAAAAGGAACAGTAATTTACATTGTTAAGGATATAATGATTCACAAATGACAAAATACAGTGATAAGAGTAGGGTTTTCATGAGTACCAATACTTTGGTTTCAAAACGATGCCAAAATTCACAAAACTTGATGGCACTCGTTTTTCTTACAGGGGATACAATTCTTCTGGACCTGACAGGGAAGCATGTACGCCTTCTCTAGTCAGACAATAAATGCCACAAAAAGAAAAACATGTTGTTTTGCTTGCAACACTTTTGTGCTCAGTGCTCTGTCGTGAACTCTCTCTGCTGTCTGTCTGTCTCTCCACTCCACTGGGCTGTCTGTATGCACAGGAGCTCAGGCCTGCCCGCAGTGAAACATAAACGGGGGCGGGGCTGAGCTAACAGACAGCGGTGGAGAGCAGCACACTCACCAAGCACGTAAGTTGTAAGTGCAACACAAGCCTGGCGAACCAAAATAAAGCAACAAACACTCCAGGTGTCAGGACAGGAGGGAGAAATTCCCTTCAGACAGCAACAAGACTAATCGATTAAAGAGAGGGTTTGTTAGGCAATATTATAACCTACTTTATTGTTTAGTACAGTATAAAAAAACAATAAATAAGCATTAATGCAATGCAGAACCATTACTGTATTACTACGTCCAATATGAAAGTATTGGATCAGGACTCCGTATCAGCAGATACCTACTCATTTTTATTATTACTGAATCGGTATCGAGAATTATGAAGTTCACTGGTATTGGTTGACTACTACATTTCTGGTATTGTGACATGCCTAGGTAAGAGGGTAGTGGTACATCCCAGTTCATACCATTTTAACATTCAAGGTTTCTGGCATGGACTGACCTTATTACCATTCAGGCCAGTCCTAACCCTGTCCTGCCTAAGCCTGGCTCATATTCATAGGAGCAACACACTGAGGACTTTCTTCAGAAGCATGCTGGCCCAGTTTCATGGCTCACTTTGACATGGCTGTGGATTTGATGATGCTTTTCCCTACGCTCTTTCAAGTTTTCTTCTCGGCCTAAGAGGGATCCTCCTCCCCCCACTGATGCCCACATAAACCGGGAGGACTGAGGGGATTTCCTGATGTGTGCAACGAGTGCGTGTATGTCCCTTTGTGTGTATGTGTGCATGCGCGTGTGTGTGACACACTTTGCCTTTGCTCGGCAAATGTCCTAGCTAAGTGTCCTGATTAAGTTAGTTGGAGGAAACGTGGGCTAAAAGACAGGGAGATATACACAGGGTCATACACATACAGATATATATAGACACACAGTGAACAAGAAGGATATTTAATAACACTAATATTATTGGTAAATACCAGTCTAAATCTTTAATTTCATTGGCATGGATAGCGAGGCGAGCGTATGGCTGTAACTAAGCAATAATTTAATATTATTCTGCTTAAAGAATCAGCTTTTTTACAGCTATTCAGCGATTTATTTACATTTATAGCTGAGTTTTTATCTGTTGGTGTTCATAATTTTTTTGTGTTTTGTTATTTGTTAATCACTTTAACTGTATTTTATATCCTGATGAATACAAAATCAATCGCAACTCTAAATATTCAAACAACAGTGGCACTGTGAGCACTTCAGGATTCAATCTCAGGATTTATCTACTTGCCTCCCAAAGCAGTATTTTTCCACATTTTCTACTGATTTCAATTATACTACTCAACCCGACTAGCACCTATAACAAATCAACATACAAGTGTAAAAATGATAAATAATCTATGTAAAAAAACAAAGAATCAGTTCACTCCCTGAGATCACACACAGATAATCTTTTCAGAGTGCTGGTTAAGACTCTCAGTGGACATGTTGCAGACAAGCAGTCGCCATGCCACAGCTTCTTAATGAGGCTGATCAATGTGGCCTGCCTACAGCTTCAGCTCTGACTACAACAATGACGTATCAGGTTATGAAGGAGACGCCTCTGCTACGTTATGCGTGTGTGGGTTGTGTGTTTGTGTGCACGCTAATGACTGACCTGGGGATGGTCATTAAGGGTGAAGGATGATAATAGGACAGAGCGAATAACCTATGTCAGTATCAACAAGTTATTGACAAACTCATACAGCTTGCAAAACAGGCTAAGCTTTCATACACTTATCAAGGATATTAAACTTATATCGGGAAATGTCATGAAAAATGCATTATTTTTACCTCATCAAACCGATCAAAGGAGGTGCCTTCCTGCATGAACTCAGGCAGGTGTTTCTGCCAGTTGAACTCGTAGGACTTCGTCATGGCTGCTCACAAACCTGAGAGCAGAGACAGACAGACAGAGACAGAGTAAGAATTAGTATAAAATCTGTAACAACCAGGTGTAAATGCCCATGGTAGTTTCAAGGACAGAACACGTGCATAAACACACGACACATGTCTTCTTCTTTCCTGTAGTCTCAAAGAGATGCTGAATTCACTGAGCATAGCTAACTGTACCTGGCCCTCCAGGGGCTCGTCCAAAAATGTCCTCTCCTAAGATGTAAAATAACTACACATAAAACCCTTTACCAAAAAACAAAACATCTTGGCGTTCTTTCGGGTTAAAACATACATGTAGAACTTGGATGTTGGAGTTGGTTAAGTAAGATTATTAAGTGAACGTATCCCAGCCACTGGCCCAAAACATCGTCAGAATTTGTTTTTACAGGCTTTAAATGTTTGATGATGGATAATTAACCACAAATGATAAATATGTCTTCTTGTTTTCACAAAGGAGAATTAATCATGTAAACACAGGTCGCAGCATTACAAAAGATGTTTGAGTGATAACAACGGATCAAAGAAGACGGAAAGCCCAACTTTAAATCCCCTTCAGCCAAGGAAAGACAACTGCAGTGTAATTACCTCATGTTAACGTAAAAGAAGGACACATAAATGAATGTGGGTCTTTACCTCTATGTAGGCACAGCCATTGTGTTATTATATAACGCATTAGTTGTACTTCAACAAAAACACTATTGTAAGCCATACATAAAAAGACCTTAGCAGTTAATGACGAACAGATAAAGGGAAACATACTTTAAAATGTAGCTGATTTGTTCTATTTTGTTTTTTAAATTAATGTAATAGATGAGATTTGCTAAAAGTCAAATACAACATATATGGTAAATTATGCTCAGTACACTCCATTGAAGCAGCTGTTCGTACTTACACTCGTCTCAGAGGACTTCTCTGATGCCTTGGTTTACCTGATGAGTCTGCGCATACTTGCATCAATACAGTAAACAAGGTTTTTTCCTCATACATGATGAATCCCACATTTCAACTGTACTCATTTATGTCTGAAATACACTTTTGGTATTTCCAGTGTGGTCTCTCCCGAGATGTGGGTTTTTACATAGAAACAAATCAATCAGTGCAGTCATAAAATCTAATTTCTCTTGGCTCTTACCCACAATCACTTGATTATGCACTTACTGGCATCTCAGCACAACCGTCTTTCACAACCTCTATAAACACATTTAGGAGAATGTATTATCAGACAAGAAAAATATTCACAGGTATAATCTCATTATGTGCATATTTACTTGAAAAATAAGAATTGCGCTAAGAATTGTTTGTGTATTACACCGCAGTTTCTCCTTAGCCCTTGGAAGCGAAGGGTGAAGCGAGGTGAAGCTAGGGACTCACAATCTGCAACTTCACCACCAGATGCCATAAATACCATACACTGGTCCTTTAACCAACAAGAAAAACATTGCTACAGTAGGTTGTTGAGTTGCAAACCAGAGTTTATGCTTGACTGAATACCCTAGAAACTCTAACTGCCAAAACACAGAGCATTGCAAGTCTAGGACTATTTGAAAAGGTTTTGAAATGTTTATCTTGGCTTTGGTCATGACTAGCAAAAAAATCAAGACATCTCCTACATAGTTACAATGGAAGTTATTCACGGTGAAAGACGGGGAGATACCAGAATCTCCGCCAGTAGCCTCACAATACCAGAATGCAATGGAGCAGTAAAGTATGAAGAAGATAAGGCAGGTTGAAGGACCGTGGGTGCATCACACCATCAAAGGACAACTCCTGGGTGGGACTGAACAACACAGGTTGAGCATAATTGACAGTTAAATAGTATGTGAGGTTGGAATTTTCCATTAAGTCTACTTTTATCTCACACTTGGCCTCAAACAGTCTGGCTGTGCACCGTACTTCTCTTCAAACACAAAAAGCAAGTAAGGCTTGATTCATGTGACACACCTGCACGTGTAGCATCACGCAAGACATCCAGCTCAAGGAGGGGAGGGGGTCCTGACAGGAAACTGTAATATTGTTGATGACACCACCCAAATATAGGCTTCCCTTACGTCAGCCTCAAATGTGTCAGGCAAAACTGAGAGGGAGAAGCGCACTTGAGAACGTGACATGCTATGTATAGTCTAAGAGCTCATCCGGGTTTAAGTCATTATGGGAACACTCCTGAGGTGCGATTCGATGCTGTTTCAGTCTGTAGGGCTCGGATTCCATCATGATAATAATTACAGATAGTATACATATACCATATACATATAACATATAATCAAAACAATCATATGCTTTTCAATTCACATTGCTGTAATTTAATCTCTTAATAATATCCAAAGGTGTGATAAAGATGTAATTTATTTTAACGTCTTCACCAAGTTTTATTAGTTTAAAATGTCTATCTTGAGTGTTTGCATATGGCTGGATGTGTGGAAGCACCTTGCCATTACACAGTTTGAGATAGAAGTCCCATATTTCATGCATAAACCACCCATTTTCTTTCCAGGGATAAACAGAGGGAAACTGGCTGTTGATGGGTGAGATGACAAAGAGGAAGATAGAGGAGTGATACAGAAAGAGAAAGAAATAGGGACCAACGGAGACTAAGTGTTAGAGAGAGATCGGAAGAAAAGGAAAGAGATAAAGGCAAAGGGAAAATGAACGGGGAAAGAGACAGATCAGAGAGAGGCGAGAGAAAATAAAAGCAGTAAGAAGTACGGAGAGGTGAGGGACAGAAAAATGGGAGAGAGAGATGAGAGACGAGTAGAGAGTGACGTGAGGAGCGCAGAGATAAAACAGAACAGTGGTGGGCAGGGAGAGATGGACGAGTGAAACAGCTGTGTGTGACAGAAGCTGACTGGGGAGGTTGGGGCGGACGAGGTGGGGAGTACAGCAGTGGGGGTGGAGGGGTTGTCTGCTTTTGATGTGGGGAACACAGATCAGAGACAACATCAACAGAGGCTACAGACAACCACTAGCTGGGTGGGCTACAGTCCACCCCCCGGCATGACAGATGCAGATGAAGAAAGGCTTTTGAGATGTCTGTGGGCTGTCAATATGACAATACAGAGTTTTTCAGAAAGGCTGCACAATTATACAGCAGCTAATAGGAGCTAATCCCACCCCCCTGTGCAGCTTCATTAAAAGATACAATTACTCTTGATGCAGAGGGTGGACCCACCAGAAAATGAGAACACACACTACTACTCTTTTCATTTGCTCAGCTCATTTTGGGTCCTGACCCAAAAGTGTAGTCTGGTATACGTCATAGCGCTACAGGAAATGTAGCAGCCAGGCCAGGTCAATACACCAAGTGATGTAGAAAAAAGGAGCCAACTTCATCAAACCCAGCCCTTCACCATCTGTGGTGTCCTACCAGGGGACGATAACACAGACGCACACATCCTGTCCGGGGACTGAAAACACAGATGCACACTTCCTGTGGAGATTAAGAACTAAGGCCGGGCAGGGCGCCAATAACAACCCACAGAGAGAAGGCTAGTGTAAATAGGCTGCACCCTGTCTAGAGTATTTAATAATTCTTAACCAAATCGGAAAGAAATTATATATATTCCTAAATCGGATTAAAAATGATTCAGATAGGACAAATCACATGTCTAATTTGGACTAATTGGGTTGTGCTGTCCTGTCTGATGGTAGCCTAGATCTTGCCACTCTCAACAGTATGCATTAGATAACATTTTCCTCAGCGGGATGAAATCTGTCCAATAGCAGCTCGGCACGCTGAGGTTCTGTAAGGCCATGGCAGCACCCACACTGGGCCTCTGAGCTCCTGGACGTGTGAGTGCACACGTGAAGAGCTGAGGGAAGCTGAGGGAAGCTGAAGGAAGCGAGCGAGGTCCGAGCCCCCTGTCCAACCCCTGACAACGAGATAATTACGATAGATAGGAGCCCCGTGAGGCACACTGTTCCCAGCCTCCTCATCTGAAATGGCAGCTAGGGTAACACCCAGCGGTCCCACACCTCATAAACTAAAATTAGGCTACAGCTACATCAGTCAGCCAGTGGTGGAAGGGTTGACTGGGGACACACTCAAATGGACACAAGTGAACAACACACAGCGAGGCACATCTGACATCGCTCACACAATAACCAAAGCTATCCTTTACTCAATACCTGGTTTGGATTATGCATTAAAGGTGTCCAACATTAAAAATAACACATTTTGAAACCACAGGAAACTGAGGGAGAAAACAGGCCCTTTTAGTTAGGCGTGCTTTCATGCCTCATTTGATCTTACAGCACAAATCACCACCTGATGTTCTTGGTGTTACAGTCATCGTGCATTCATTTAAAATTTGAACCCATCTGAGCCTACCTTTTACTGCTGTTAAAAAATATATTCAGTTATGGGAAATGATAATCTCCAAAGGTTTATAAAAGCGCTACATCTCTGCAATATCTGAAAATGATCTAGATTCACAAGAGGTTCACAGGTTTAATTTTAAAATAAACCAAAATGAGTACTACTAGACGCAGTACCAACATTATCATTGCAATTAAACTTACAATAGTACCATAAAATAATTCAAGACCATACCATGTTTGTTATTTTCTCTTACCATTAATGTGGCCTGATGTGGCCTTGGTTGATAGCTACAACACTGTAGTAAGTACATGCAATACTGCAAAGGAGTTATACATTCAGAGTCACTAGCATATTAGGCAATGGGCTCCAATGAACCCTGATTCATAGCAGCTGGAACAGAATTGGCCAATCTAACAGCTGCACTGAAAAAAAAAAACTACTGCATCAATGCCTTTTAAAAATATTAAAAGTATTTAAATTCCAGTTAAACATAATTTTCCTGCAGTCTTCTCCTTTTGTAGCCTCAGAAGCAGGAAAAACACTGTTTCTCTGCTCAGTGTCAGACTTTATCTGGAACAGCTGGTCGGAGTTAGAGAATAAGATAAATGTTACATATATGATGCTCTTCATCATGCAACTTGACAATAATTGCCCAGGTGCTCGTGGTTTGACCATGTATGG